CAAGCCACACCTGGCCTCCTGCGGACCCTCCAGATGTATTTCACCCAAGAAGTTACGGATCTCAACGAGACCCGTTCTCCTGAACACCACGTTGATGGGGACGTGGGCACACACACCCCTCCTCTTGCATGCCGGCCCAGGGGCCCACCCTCGAGCATGTGCTGGACAACAGAGAGGGCGGGCTGTGGCCAGTCCTTTCTAGTTCCCCACCAGGTGTCAGCCTGAAGCCTCTTCTCTTTCTTCCCAGGGAGACTGAGCTCCACGTTGACGCGATTGAAGTCCCTCCCCAGGTTCCTCTGGGGCCCTTCACGACACTGCGCCCCTTCAGGGAAATGTCCACACTCCCTGGGATGTCATCGTTCTCGCAGTAGGAGCGGCAAGATCTGATCTTTCTCTCGTTCTTCTACACGCCATTGCCTAACTCAGGGCCTCAGAGACGTGCCCTCTTTCTTCCACAGCGCCATGCTTTGGGCTCTTATGTTAGGGGCCAGGTCTACAGTCCATGTTTTGAGTTAGTATTTGGCCCCAGGTGGGTGGTGGTGTTTGTCCAACCCCTTTTGCATGTGCAGGTCCCCTTCTCCCAACTCCCTTTGCCCCATTCCCCAGTGCATTGTCTTGGCATGCTTGTTGGCATTTCTGGAGGCTTTAAAAGCAGTTATTGTGTAATGGCATGCCTCTGGGGGAAAAGAGAAAAGGCAGAGGGGTGAATTGCTCGGGCTTGCGTTTCCGCTGCTGGCTCTGGACTGTCCAAGGCCAAGTGGAAACTCCTAGGTTTCTTTCCTCCAGGCCAAGGGAGGGCAAGCGAAAGGCCCAGGAGGAGCCTGCTGAGGGCCTCGGGCTGCTAGGAGCCCTGGCGGAGCTGCGATTCAACACTCAGCTTCCAACTCACCGCGCAGTGCAGCCCCCAGTGGACTGAGATCTGGCCAGCATCAAAGCTGGTTTGCTGCCAGGCTGCTGGGAGTGGGGAGAGAGGACCCCGGGGCCCCATTGGGGCAGCTGACTTCCTGGTCACACCCTGTGTCTGAGCTTGGCTGCCTGCCGCTTGTGTGCCCCATGGGACGTGCTCCAGGCTGGTATCCAGGCTGAGAAGCAGGACACGTGCGTGGGCTCCTTCTGGCTAGGGGGCCGGCCAGACTGGACGCCTGTGGTCATAGCTACACACTCCAGCACCCAGAGATCTGGGTGCAGGCGCCCAAGCCAGGGACCCCCTCCCATCCCTGGACAGCCTTCTGGACACAGTGTAGGATCCGCCCTGACCAGCATGCTGGCTCAGAGGACCAAATTCACACCTCCTGCAGGGTCAGGGTTACAGATAACCACACTGGGGTTGCTCCTGGCCCCTTCCAGACCTGGGGGCCTAGGGGAACCAGACCTGGCTTTGTGCAGTAACCACACAGGTGGGGAGGACCCCAGGGGGCTGGGGTCAACAAAGCTCAGTGCTAAGGAGACCAGCGGTGCAGTGCATTGGGCAGATGTGCTGCCCCAGACCCCTTTCGAGTGCTGAAGAGCAGGCGGGCTACTTCAGTACCTAAGCTGCACCTAACACAAGCCACACCGCTTCCTCTTGCCTCATGCGGTGGCTGTTGGTGCCATCGAGCTGGTTCTGAGCCAGAGTGCAAACAGAACGAAACTCTGCCCGGTCCTGCGCCAGCCTCACAGCCGTCTCCGTGCCCGAGCCCAGCGCTGCGTCCATCTCGTCCAGGACCTGCCTCTGCCGCTGCCCTCCACTTCACCCAGCACGACGACCTTCTCCAGGGACCGGTCTCTCCTGACCACACCTCCAAAGCATGTCAAAGTCTCCCCATCCTTTCGTCTCGAAGGAGGGCTCTGGCTCGGCCTCTTCCAGACAGACGCACGTGCTCTCTTGCTGCCCGCGGGCACTGTCGTGTGCCTCGTCAGACTGCGGCCCACACGCACTGATCTTTCTTCACTCTCTTCTCCACCGTCTTTCACGTGCATACGAGGCTTGGTGGTTATATTATCGTTTGTCAATTTGAGAGGGTTAAGAGTGGAGTCTGCCCTGTCTATCATATCATGGCCAGTGGGGCCTCTCTGTGGGCATGGCCTTCTCCTGAGGCGGGAGACACACTCTCAGCCCACTCCCTGTGACACATTGGAGCTGACAAGACAAATAGAACTATGCCAGAGCCCTGAAATGGAGAAGCCATGTGGAGACCCCTGCCAGCGCTGAGATGCTTCCACTGCCACTGGATCCACAAGACTTCC